TAAAATAAAATTTCTATGCTTGAGCAAGAAACAACTCGTTTGAGTGACAAATATCTCGCTTGAGTGAAAGATATCTCGCCTGAGCGAGATAGGCAGACAATGGTCTCTCCCAACATTTCCTGATATTCTCGCTTAAGCGAACTTTATCTCGCTTGAGTGAGATGATGTCTAGAGAGCAAAATGTTTTTCCTGTGAGTCCTCGCTTGAGTGACTCATCTCTCCTGAGCGAGATCACTTTCGCTTGGGCGAAATGATAATTGAGTTGAATTTATTCTATCTCGTTTAAGTAAGAATCATCTTGCCTGAGTGAGATTGCCCTGAAGCCTTATATTTTTGGGTGCTTAGTCTCGCTTAAGCGAGATTTGCCTCGCTAAGCAAGACTCCCTACACTAGAATCCTTCTAAAAATCTTCCATATTCACTTCTAATTGCATTTTAATACTGCTTAATATTAAACAAAACTTAATTTACTAAATAATGAAAAAAAGATGTTAAAAATTATGTCACCTAAGCTCCCTTAACATTTTCAAGAAAATACTTTGCTAAGAATTTCTTCTAAAACTACTCCCATGTTACATCCTCTTCTAGTACCGTCATCAATTGATGAGTTCCTCTCCATCAATTTTTTGTCTCACCTTCTAACATATAAGCTAAGGTCACCCTTTGTGCATCTGGGCAATTTGTCACTGGGAACAAGCATTTCTATTTTTTGGAGTCACAATTCTACTCCCTTAAGATCATATCCTCCTTTAAACACATTTTCACATTTTTTTCTCCTCATTTCCTTTACTAATTTGTTCAATGGTATCAACCATATTCCTAATGCATCAAGAGTTTCATTATTATTTCTTAATCTACCTACCATAATTTTTTGTTACAACTAATGACAATATTGGAGTGATCAAGCCCAACATTATAATAGGAGTTAGCAAAAAATTATAGTGAATCCATCAGTCAACAACACCTAATGGTCCATTTTCTAATTTCTATTTTGCCCCTTGGCAAACTCTAGGACTAATTTAACATTCTTAACAAGATACAAGGTGTCTCGTAGCACTTTACCTCTCATTAATCATTATTTAATAAGTCGTACACCACATTTGGTTATTGGGCAAATGTTATTTCCTTTACTAGGGTCACACCAAATTCTAACACAACAATCTTGCTAGACCAAACTACTCTAATACCAAATAAATAAGATATCTCTCCCCAGACCATTACATTGAATAATCAATCTTACCTTATTTATGCAGACTAATAACTAAGCACACCATATTATGTATAATAGAAAAAGTGAATAGTGTTACAAAGTACTTTAATACAAAGTCATCTACTTTTCTCTTAATTATTCAAATATAATAATATAAGAAAATAGAAAAATAACTAAGACACCTAGACTATAGGTCCTAAGTCACATGCAAACTAATAATTTACATTACTCGAGTCTTGTCACATCTATTACCGTCACCATGCTTGCTTCTCTAATAACCAACCCCACTAAGACCATTTTGAGGAGGATTAATTTGGATTGCAAGCATTGAACAATTTAGGGAAAATAGGATTTTAACCTACTATACATCAATGACAATAATTGGTGTTATCAAAGGGTTATTAATCTAAGGAGAGCATAAATGATATTACCGATAAAAATTATTGCCTGATTTACTGTATCAAAATCTCATTATCCTGCCTTGAAGAAGAATACAATGCATTGGTGAGCTTGGCCTCTAAAGTTTCTCTTGTTCTAATGAATATATATGAAAAACACAAAAGCGAAAAGGTTGAGTATATACTACTCATAAACTATTTCATAAGAAAATATACAATACTAATGAATATAAAGAAAACAATCTTCTAAATATAAAGAAAATTATCCAATTAATAACTCAATCAATCTTTCTTTATTTCAAACTTGTACTTCATTAAACTACTTTAGTTATGTTTATTTACTTCTCATCTTTGTATATTATGGGTATTTTTCTTTATAAACCCTTGACTTCCATTTCAAGAAAGCTATAATCGTACACTTAATCAAATTCATAATCCCCTATTATAAGAGAAAGATTTATCATGGAACCAATTTCACTTATAATTCTTACATGAAAATTTCACAATTTACTCAATTTATATTCAAAATCCATGGAACTAGTTTTATTGTCTCCCTCTAAATGTATTCTATCAAGGAAAAATATTAGATCAAATTAATTTTACTATTTACATGTGTATTTTTTTGTCATAATATTATAAAATACTTATTTTTATACTTCGTAAAAGTTTAACTTTTAAGTTATTTTAACTCTAATCTTCATGAAACAATTTGTAACAATTGTTAAAACACTTACTCAAGTAATATTTTTGAAATTTATTGCAAATTAATCCTTTATACTTTTAAAATTTATAATTTAGTCCATATACTTTACTATATTGCAAAAATGCCCTTTTATCAAATTTTTTACAACTTCAAGCTAAGTCAGAAATTTTTCCTTATCTTACATGGTTCTTCTCATTCAATTATGTCAGCCTACATGTCCTTTTCATTCATAAATTTTCTAAATTAAACGTTCCATTATCTTGATCAAAACATTCAAGTAGTTTAATTTGATTTAAACTATTCCTCTTCCAACTCATCTTGAATCTTCCCTAACAACTCTAATTCCTATATATAGGCCGTGGTTCCTCCCATGAGATAGTCTATCAATTGTTCCTTAAGTTGGGTTATATTTTACTTATTTCTTGACTTCAAAAATTAACTTATTTTAGCCAATAATTCAATTTTTTTCATATTTTTTTATAAAAAATATTTTTCTAAGTCCAAAATTATTAAAATCAGTTCTTTGGTTCTCACAAATTTTTTTTAACAATATATATTATTTATAAATCATTTTAGCTAAAAATTTAATTAACAATGATAACCACAATTTTATAGTATAAATTTGTAGTAAAATCATATAGTATAAAATAAGGGAAATTCCATAAAAATGATATTCGCGTTATTTTCATATTATTAACACTGGATTCATGGATGGAATACAGATTAAAAGCAAAGAAATAAATAATAATAATTTTTCAAATAAGAGAGATAGAAACATGATAGAATTTAGAGATAGAAATGTTATTTTTAACCAAGTAAAACATTAAAATTCTATATCTACATGGAAATAAAATTTCACTTCAATAATAATAATATAAAAATAAAAATGAACAATAAGATTTATTCAATTCACATGTTTGTTTTTTATGTTTGAACAAAACAATGATTTATTTTTTTTACAGTTAATTGTGAATATTATAGTAACTTATTTTTCTTCATTTTTGAAAGATTCTAAAGTAATACGTAGATATTTTATGAAGGTCCTACATTGAATAAACCATAAATATTAAGTCCTTTTCAAGAAAATATCAAAACTTGTTACTCTACAATTTTACAAAAATTTGATTGTAGAATTTATGTTACCATTTTTAAAATTGTTTCTTTATTCCATAAAGAAAGATTAATCCTTTTCAACCCATGGTACATGTGTGATCCTTTCTTCTCTCCTTCACGTGAATTCCTAGGTATCCTTAAAAGCTTCATCCTTGCTTCCTCAAAGTAACTCTCCCATGTGCAAATTAGTGGATCACTTATGTTTCTTTTGGATTTTAGTGTGAAATGTACTACCTCACATTTTCTCCCAAATTGACGTGAAAATGGCAAGATATAGGTTAAAACTTTTGTCTTAATTTCTTGGCCCTTTCATTAGCCTTCTTGAATGACCAAGTTGTCTTATAGGAAGATACTTGTGACAATTTTTATTGACTATCCAAACTAGCTTGATGTTCACATTTTTGCTTACCAAAATATTAGATCTTCAAAAACCTTTTTGACTAAATTGGCTAGTTGAATTCTAACTATTTGACATTAAACTTAGTTGAATTTTAACCCTCCTTGTCACGGTTCAAAACTCAATTAGCATGAGATAAGATCTTGACATTAGTCAAGATTCCTTTATAACTTCCTTATATTTTTTAAGTTATAAGCTTATTTGTTCATTGGCTCTTTACATTCAATTAGGCTTATCTTCATTTACCATGGTATTTTGGCTCAAATCTCCTTCAATCTAGTTGTATGATTGCTTTGAAATTTAACTTCCAATTCAAAGTGGAGTTTGGTGTGAATTCTAGCAAGAAATTGTGGTGAACTTCTCTCTTTTGTATATTAGTTTTGTTTCCTATTTTTCTTAAATTTAGGGTGTCCTTGCTGTTGTCTTATATGAATACTAATGTTTAACAAAATTTTGGGCTAATTTGTCCTAACTAATTATGGAACAAAAAGATAATTAATTAAGGTCCTACAAGTCTAAGCTTTTGGCTAATTTTAACTAGTTTAATCACCTTTGTTTGTTTCTAATTCAATTCCTGAGGCTGCTCCATATTCACGTGTATATGGTCTCAGTTGACCAAAGTTGTTATTGATTCCTTCGCAAAATTTCCAGCTAACTTAATTAGAGATTTCATGCTCTTGAATTGGTTAAAATTTCAACTTTACTTTGTTTTAAGTGTTCCACAAGCTAGATCTTTATTGGTTCATTTGTGTTAAAATTTCTTTGTCTAGTGGAAGCTTTATACTTTGATTTTCCTATATCATTTCGACGCGTAACTCCTTGTGCATTTTTCTAAACATTGAATGCCAATTGTTTAGTTAACCTTTCGCTTTATATTTTTGGGGATGATACTTGCAATATAAAGAAATTCATCATGGTTATGGGGCAGTAGAAGTGGAAAGTATGGTGGAATCTTGGGGTTTGTTGGTGGGTAGTCTTGCCGAAAAGTTCCCCAACAAAAGCTGGATGCAAACGATTATGGGTATACAAAAGCTGTCCTGGAGACATGTAGAAAGTAAATGAGGCATATGCTGGATCAACCAAGTCTGGCCTTCCAGACGATGGAATTCTGCTGAGCGGTTGTCAGACTGACCAAACTTCTGCTGATGCAAGTCCTATGGTATTCAGGAGACGGATGGTGCAGTCACAAATCAAGAGCTTGTTTTGAAGGTAAGAAAGAAGCTGAGGGGAGGTTTCACTCAACAACCGGGGCTCTTGTAGTGATGACCATTTTCATTGGCATTTTGCGTGCTGATGTATTCTCATCTGGCGCAGAGATAGAAAGTAACTTGTGCTGTGTATTGGTATGCTCGTGCTTCACTACGGTTGGACAATCAGAATATTTACTTCAACTATGATTTCAATAATCTTTTATGATATCTGGATACAAAGTAGTTCAAATTCGGATTGCGCTATGTGATACAACCTAGCTATCTACTGTTTCACATTTTTAGTGAATCATCTTTACAAATATACAAAATCGAATTATATCCCAAAATGGGTGATCAAATAATAACTAAAAAAAAGACTACACAGTTGTGTTGGGTGCAGGGGATGAATGCATCGCCTCTAAAAAAATTCAGCGTCAAGGTTGAACCTTTTCCTAAAAATTTGCTTGTTGACATTCTAAGACACCAAATACTGGTGGTAGTTCAAGCAACTGCCAAAAGGCGGCACCTAGATTCAAACTTTGTTATAAAGAAAAGGTGAGTAAAGCCTATTGTCACGTCAATCATCAATTTCTTGAACCCATGCTAAACCTGTGAATTGTGTCAGAAAATTAGGTTATTCTTTTCTTCATAATAATTGACAAAAATAACAAAGATCCAGAAACAAAGAAAATCCATCTATTAATTGTTTCATATGTACTAAACAGGAAACTTTCCAAGCAGGCTAACTTCACAACCTACTTAAAAAAATGATCTTATGCATCAATTTTACTATAAATTCATGGTGTAAAAAGCAAAATCAGATGAATGAGAGATTTATGAACATGATGCGTTCTTTTTACGCAAAATTTTTATTGTATAAGTAATCATTCACTTGATTAAGATTAATTTTGATTTACTCTGATGTCAACAAATTCATGATAGAGATTTGATGCATTTCAATCAGATGCTTGAACGGATTATCGTGCAAAATGTTCATTCCATAAATAACTTTTCACTAATGCAAGTCTTGTTTTGCTTTGATTTCCAACAATTCATGATAGATGCATATCAATTAATTTAAATGCACCTACAGACCCAATTTTTCCTATAAAACTAGATAACTAAGTAGGTGGTGGCCAGCTTTAGAACTTTATGCTTTGAAATTGCTTAAATATTATTAAACCAGTTGCCAGAATTTCAAAAGTACTTCAAAATTATATTTAACGGAGTTGCTTCCACAATACAATTACGTAAGTTTAGTACCTAGTGAGTTCAGCAACATAAATCAAATAATATCAGTGTTTGTCATAAAACATGCTGTCAAAGAGGTCATTTCAATCCAAGTCCATTTTAATGGTTTCACTTGGAGTCCTTTTTAGTCTTCCTTCACATAAATTGTTGGACAATCCTCCATTCAATGAACTCTCATGATCTATCGGTCTTCTCATATGGCCAAACCATCTAAGGCAAGATATTACCATCTTTTCCTCAATAAGTACTATTGAATCTTAACGGTTCTTGTATGTTCATGTTCAACACCTAGTTTACGCTCTTGTTCGCACTTTACCCTTCAACATTCAGTACCATTCAGTATAGCTGGACTTTTCACTGGTAATTTTTCCTTCCCAGCTTGTGCAGCAACTTTCAATTGCAAACACTCCTCCATTTAATCAATCCAGCTTGGATTCTATTATTTACATCTCTCTCAATCTCTGTTATTTTTCATGTTAAATCCAAGATACTTAAATCGCATGGCTTGGTGTATATTATGATCTCCATTTTTCACCTCCAAGCCATTATTCACACATATCTTGCTAAGCTTATATTTCATATACTTGAGAAACGGTGTTTCCAAATCTTCTCTCCACCCACAACTCTACCTAAACAGCTATTCCTTCTCTTGATTTTCCCACAAGTATATCATCCACAAAAAGCATAAGGTACTAGCAATCTAACAAAGGAAAGAACTCAAAGTTGACCCTTGATGTAATCATCTAGTTATAAGTAATAAGTAATCCTTTGTGACACAACCATGTATTTGCACACTAGTTAGCTTTACAATATTGACATTGTATGCATTTATAGAAAGTCCATATTTTCCAACTATACATGAGTGCAGGAAAAAAGATTAATAGTGTACATCATGAATGCTTTTCAATTGTAATCCATTCCAAAATTAACCCTAATTTTCAAAAGATACAATATGCAAGTTCAAAAAACTTCCTTAACAAGCATAATGTACAAACAAATATATGCATGAATCATGAGTGCATAATCAGAAATGTGAATGTGTTTCAGAGAGAGAGAGAGAACCTTGAAGCACATTTTCCACTGCTGCATTAGGAACAAGAAGCCCAACAATTCGTTGGTTATCCACAGAAGTTTCAATGCGTACAACACGCAGCCTCCTATGGCTTAGACGGGCCTGTACAGATTTTTTTGCAGTTTAGTATTCTTCATAGATAAACATATATAAGCAATTTCTGAAAGCACTGCCAATATAACAAAAATCTTATAATCAGGCCCATATACTGTTGTCATGAGGAAACTATAATGGTTCAACAATTCAACAAGGAATCAAAGCCACCTCACAAAGACAACATTTTTAGAGAACAAAATACTTATGGAGATCAAAGGTTACTGAACACTCCAAACACGGGTTTTGTGAACAACAATAAATTATATGAACAAAAATCATAACCAAGACAACTGCTACAATTTTCATGCTGCAAACCTTGTGATTTCAAAATTCTGCTCAAATCAGCAGACTACGTAATAGGCCTTTTCTCAATAAAATTTTTTTGGTTCCTGGAATTTTATATGCTGGAGAAGTACCTGCTTAGAAAGGGCCTTTTCTACTGCTCCCCAAACAGGAAGAATGAGACCACCCAAGACATTTACTTCCTGTAGTCTTCTACCAACTGTACAAAATTCACCAATCTTACAATTGGGACCATGCATACACTGCCATCAAAGGTAAAAAGGAAGTAAATGTAAGACAACATAGTCAACAAAGAATACTTATTTTCTCACTTTACATCTATGTGTTTATATACTGAATACTGATCAGAAGATTATAAATGGTAGATATATTACAGCAAGGGAGTAATACAAAACTGATATAATTAACCTATTAAGTGCTTGACCAAGCTCAGTAAACATGACAACTGTCACAAGTGTTAAAAACATAAAAAATTAGACAGGGTAATAGCATATCAGTTGATCTTAGAAGGGTAGTGCAAAGAAATAAGTTATAAGTGCCTATGAATAACACTTGGTTCCCTTGCCTTTTTTGTGGATTTTATTTATGAATAGATGAATAAAGAAATTTACATAGCAAGGAATGATGTTATATTTTATATTTCTACAATCATAGGCGAGACAAATAAACTACTGTTTTTGTAGTTCTAATAACACTTGAACCCTGCTTAACAAGAAAGCAGTCCTTGACTGTTTTCGTGAAGCCTCAATATTTCAATCACATCAATGTTCATGCAAATTTACAAATACGAAAAGTAATTTACCGAAGAAATATACCTGTTTAGATGAAACTTCATACTCCTCTTCCCACCCTGATTGAGCCTTCTCTAGAGATGAAATTTTTCTATATTTACTTCTTAATTCAGACAGAGGCATCTCCCTATATATTTGGGGTAAAAACATGGTTAAAATCACAATTAGACTGAACAGATCAAGGCATATTACTGAAAAATACATACCGGTTTGATTCTCCAACAGGGGGACGAACTATCTTATACATACCTGAAGCAGAACTGGAACAGAATGAAGAAGAAAATACTGACATAAGCAGATTGTTACGGGAAAACAATGACCATATAAGCATTAATACATGTTGAGGCTTAGTTTTATGAATAGCTTTTCTCTTTACTAATTTCCTCTTCTCTAGCCTTTTTGAATGAAAAACAATGTTATCAATGGTGGATGACGGCTCATGGTGGAAACCAAAAAATCTGCCATAAAGTTATGGCGGCCGCCATGGCGGGTTATGGCAGATACAATAAAATATATAAAACATATTATAATATGCATATATAATATTTATGTACACAGAAATTTAATATAAATGCTCAAGAAATTCTCAAGATTACATCATCATTCCAAGTAACAGTAACACTGTAAAAGAGAAACACAAAAACACTGCAGCATGGATGTTATATTAAACAAAAAATGCTAAATAGAGCTTGAACAACAAAACAGAGGGTGAATAGCAAAACAGATCTTGAACAGAAAAACAAGAATGATTAATGAATAGTAAAATGGCTCAAACAGAAAAGCAGAATAGATGCCAAAAAAGCTGATTTCTCCGGTGAACAGAAAAGCAGATGAGACACCGGAAAAACTGATTTTTCTGGTGAAATGGAGTGGATGACCCTTCGGACTAGCTTATTTTTCCGGCGAAATGGAGTGGGTGAGTCGGTGAGGATGGGAGAAATTGCTACAGAGGTTTTGGCTTTTCATGCTGAGAGGAAGAGTGTGGAAGAAGATGAAATATATGTTTTATCAAGGGTAAATGACCTTTCTACCCTTACAAATAATCAAAACGTTGCGTTTTAAGAAAAAAAGAAAAGGGTTTCTTCCTTTCCCCAAAATCGTGCAGTAGCACTTGCAACTTCTCCCTGTTCTGGCCATGAACCACCCGCAACCACCACAATGTGACAAACGCCCCGCGACGTAGCAGCCGACAGCTGCTCCGCACTGCACCGGCACGATAGCACAGCTATTAACAAGTCACCTTAGGGTTTTCTTGCAAGGGTCAACCTTTGGACAGGGTCAGATTCGCGGCCCAACCTTGCAAAAATGCCATTTTTCAACAATTTCTGCCATGGCCGCCGTTACCGCTATGCGTGTAATGGCTGCCATGGAAAAACACCATAAAACGCTAACGCTGTAAAGGCGGGGTTAATTTCCTCCACCAAATTCTGCCATCGCACTGCCATGGCCGCCATTTAACAACACTGATGAAAAACAACATTTTTTGTCAAGCAAGCCATGCTACTCAAATAAAACACTAAAAGTAGACAACTTTATCAAAGATCAATTTCTCTTCTTCATATTACCATCAATGATACTAATTTTCCCTAGAGTCTATCCGTTTCCATCTTCTTTATTCCAAAATTAACTCAATGGGTGATTTGACCAGTTCCCTACATTGAATGTCAAATTTATCTTGCTTGTTGAAATATTTTTATTTGTAGTTTATGCATTCTAAGTTTAGCAAAAAACCAAGATAAGGATCATGCATTAGAAGTTAATCGAAGACAAAATTATACCACAAGTTTTTAGACTCAAGTACTTGAGATTGATTCTACTGAATCATGGGAAAATAAGTGAAGATGTTCCACATAAAATACAAGTTAGGTAGTTAAAGTAGAGAAAGGAAACAAGACTTAGTTGTGACTGTAAAGTACCTACCAAGTTGAAAGAAAATTTTTATCAATGTAATACAGTATCCTATATGGTAGTGAATATTGATCCTTAAAAGAACACCATGAGAAAAAAGTGAGTGAAAGAAATGAGAATGTCAAAAGTTAATGAGTGGTCGTGTACAAGAAACAAAAAAGTAAAAAATGATAATATACATAAGAATATTTGAGTAGAACCTATGGTGAAAAAGATTATTAAACGTTGTCACATGCATAGAAAAACTTTGGAGGCACCATCGAAGAGAATGGATGGCATGACTTTTTTAGTCTGGTAAAAAAGGGTAGAACGAAACCCAAAAGAACCTTAAAGAAAGTTGTTAAAAGAGACCTTTTAATTGATAATATTTTTGAAATTTTGGTTTTTAACCAAGTTCAATGGCATCATGTGATTCATATAGCCAACTTCACCTAGTAGGATAAGGTTTGGTTGTTGTTTAGGAAGTAATAAGCCTCACTTAAACAAAATTCTTGCACTCAATTCCCTAAATTTAATATTTATACTCCTTAATTTAAAGTTCATACTCATCGTTAACATTTCAGCATAAATCAGTATGTTGGCATCTAGAGCTCTCTTTTCTTTTCTTTTCTCATTTTGGCAGTCATGAATCAGTCCAATATAGTGGGATAATATCTCAGAATTTAATTTTTGACATAACTTTACGATTTGGTGTGATCCATGTAGTTGACCTCACTTAATGAGACAAGGTTTGGTTGCTGTTGATGTGAATCAGTCCATTCATTGCCACGAAATCACTTTGGTGATGTCTCACAGTACACCATCAACCATGGTTGTCAAAATTACATGTTCAATTCAGCACTTTGCAAGCAGCTTTTGATGTTGTTCGTCCAAAACATAATATATTGGGATTTGAATTTGTATTTGTGTATGACTATAATAAAGTTATACATGCTACATATGTTTCGTTAATTATCTTATATATATTTTGATCAATTCAACTGCAGTTGGACCAATGAGTCTTGAATCAATACCTTCATTGTTCAGTGACTGGTCCAATTTTAAAAGCACTGCCTTTTATACTACTTGACATAACCATGCACTTGCAGTTTATCACTGTCTTGTCAATCCCTTGCATGCACACACGTCTGCTTCTTATGGGGGTTGAGGGGTTTACTCAAGCACACTAAAACACTTTACATCTAATTAGGATTTCAAGGGATTAACCAGTTCCCTGCCTTAAATTCAAGCACAGGCTTTTGCATGTTGAAATGTTTTAATTTGCAGCTCAGAAAGCGAGGATTCACTCAAAAAAAGCAAAAAAATATTATACCCAATTCACATATGACATTTTAATGTTTTGTAGCACCAATATAAGCATGTTTGGTTCAGCTTATTTTGAGAAAATGATTACTTATTTTTATTAGCTTCTTGAGACAGCTTTTGAAAAATAAACAATTATTCCCCTTGAAAAAGGCTGTCCAATGTATTAAATGAATCAACTGTCATAACATGGAAAAATATACAGATAAGCATGTAACATATTCTGAACTGTGGTGTATGGGCATCAAAAGGTCAGTACACAAATATGTAAGAAAGAAAGACTATGGATTGTACCTTTCAAATGCTAAAATGAAATGACGTCTTCCCAACCACTCCCTCTTAGACTCATAGAAGCCATCATTGGATGAACCCAGCCCATCCTTTTGCTTTTCATTCAGTATCATACTTGCCAACTGGCATGTAAATAATAAATTAGTTAGTATGTTAAGATAGTTTGTGTAATGCACACCATTATTTGGGTCATGCAAAAACGAGCAAACACCTCCCATGTGATCCCACGATCCAAGACAAATGTAAACAGAACCGTTGAAGCCCCGGTCAATTGATCAACATGAACAGTCTGCATGAAAGTGAAAATTTCTCCCATCCATATTATCTATACACAAAAGTCAACATAAATGAAGGAGTTGCCACAAGAAGTGTAGCAAACAAACCTTTGGAGTCCCTTGTAATTCAATCACATTAGCTTTCAAGTCAACAATTCCTGTGTCAAGGTTACCTTCAATGCGAGCATTCCGAACTAGAAGATCCAAGATACTCACAAATAACTCAAATAACCTGTTGATACAACAGTATTCAGCATATTGAATCTAATACCGAAATCTAATTAAGGATAGACAGACCCATTCTGAATATCAGGCGGTAGTCCCAAAAGCCGATTGAGGAATCGTCCAACTTCATGCATATCTGAATCAATAATTCGACCAGATAACCTTCCCAGATCTTTACCATTACCTACAAATATAGGAAATATGTGTTTAATAATAATAAGGTTAAGCAGTGGAATAAGTATCACAAATAAATCTCCAATGCTCAATGACCAACAGGGAGAGACATCCAGAAGTTATTATTATTACTTTTATTACTATCATCATCATCAACATCAAACCACACAATCAAACATTTAGGAGAGAATAAAAAATGAATTACCAAGAACTGTGTCCCTTACTATTCCAACAGATACAAGAGCAGCTTTTGCCTGCACAATAAAATCTTGAATTGTATCTGGTTTGTCAGATGAACATCCTGGAGGTACAACAGGCAGAGACTCCTAAAAACCAATTTGTCAGTCAATGTATTTGAGCACTTTTTTTCCTTCTAGGCATTTCAATATACACAATTGTATTTGAGCATTTTAATGAATATTATGAAACCTGCTCCATTATTCCCTTGTACATAATCATCAGAGCCCTCTTTCCATAAGCACTATCATAATTATAAGCACTTAATGAAGGTCCAGCCCTGTATACCACCAAAGTAAAGAACAACATAACCAAAGATGTCAGAATTCATCCAAGCTGGTTCATTGAAAACAGAAAAATGATAAATCCAACATGCCTGCGATCACCCTGTGTCAAAGCACCAAGAGATTCTAATCTCTTAGCAACAATTGATGCAAACCGGCGTTCTCCACCAAGATTTGTAAAGAGTATCCTGTACAGCATTCACAATAATTGAGATTGGCTATCTCAAGACAGCATATAAAAAAACACTGGAACCATTTAAGATCAGGTCTAATGTCCTTCCATGCGTGTTTTTATAGGCTTTCGTGTGATAATAGACAACAATTTATACTGGCAATTTATATGTTTAAACTTTAACTAAGCTCTGGCAGAATCAAGTTTGAGTGCATTTAACGTGATTTTGTCCAAAAAAGAAAGTATATATATGTGTATATATATATACACACACACGTACTAATTCATTTCCACAATTTCTTTCTCAAGTTTATAGTTTTATATTTTTTTAATATAGTACTATTCAATATAATAAAGAACTATTGATAAATAATATTGCTAGGAATTTGGTTTTTGACTAAATTCAAAGGCATCGTGTCATTCAGTAGAGAACCTAACCTAGTGGGATAAGGTTTTGTTGTAGTAGTTGAGTACTAATGTACTATTCAATATAATAGAATACTTATTACTAGAATTGAAAATATCTTTATTCTCTTTAATTTTTTTCATTTAGAAGTTTTATTTGAATTTAAAAATACTCATGCAATGCACCTAAAACTTTCTAGTTTGAACACATGCAAACTGAAGTCAAGTAAATTGTGATAAAGATACAGTTATCCTTGATTTTTGTACAACTCTGACACAAACTGCTACTGCACGTCTTGATATACACTATAACAAGAAAGGCAGCTCCTTTCAGAAACAATTTATATCAAATGTTTATAATATATCCTCTTCCCTAACTGTACTACCTCTATTTCTCCTCTTTCCCCGTAAAACAACATCAGTCAGAGTCATTTCCTTCACATTTCAGTCTTAACCGTTTTGCAGATTTGAAACCGCAGCAAAAATTGGGGTTTAATAGTAATACCAATATGTAAAGCAAGAAAACAGATATAACAGCCATTTCAATCAATAATGATTAATGACCTGTATTCCGGTGCTGATGCTTGATTTGATCGATGAGTTCTTCCAAACTGCTGAATTGCTCGGTCAGCACTCCATGGAAGTTCTAGGGTTAAATGAACCCTTCTTTTCTGTGGTGCAAAGGTCAAAGAGCACAGAATGATGAACACAGGACAGCAAATGATGCACAGAACAGATATTTAAATTCCGTCTACAAGAAGTTTCCAGGAAGAATATGTGCATAAACATAGAACAGACAGGTTATCAGGGAAGAAAATACTTCAAAATCAGTTTGACATACCTGATTTGAAGCTCTTCTATCCGCCTGCAAAGAAACACCAGCTGATCCAGCTTCAGAGATAATAGCAACTAACTTTTTACCATCCATAAAGAGCTGTTTTTCATGCATGTTAACCATTTCCATAGTCACATCCTTCCTACACACATATACAAACTTGTAACTAAGCTATAATGAAATGTTGTTCATAAGAAGATATAGGAAGACAACAACTCACGTATTACGAGCCTGATAAGTTACACCCTTTCCAGTTGCGGCCCTCACAAGCATTCCTCTCCTTCCTGTCATTTCTGCAACATTGTCAGGACCTCCTAACTGCATATAACAATTATAGCAGCCAGGAAGAGTTAGGCTTCTTTCAGAAAAATAAACATAATTAAGAGGAAAAAGTACACAAAAGATAAGTCATTGTAACACAAAAATAGCTAAAGAAAAACAAAAAATTTAACAATTGATCCAAATTTAGGGTTTCTCCTTTCCCCTTTCGTTTAGGGTTTTTCATTTTTGCTCTGCAATCACAAGCACTAACTATCGCAGCAGCAATCATCAAGAACACCAAGCTCTAATTCCAATAGCACAACAAAAAAATCATACAAAGACACATTTTGATTTTTCAAATTCAATTGAGGTCCTTGACAATCTTAATCCTCATGCTGTTTTGATGATGGACTGGAAATGGACTCAAGGCATTTTCTGGAGATAACGATCACACTGTTTCACCTATGCAATCTCATACATGTGACCAAGGCAATTGCTACCAGATTCCAGGCCCATGGCTTTCTTGAGGTTCCACAACACTAAGGGCAACTTATAGGATTCTGCATTGATGCCAGCAATTCCAACATGGTCGACCTCTACAACATCAAGATTGTGAAGAAGCTCAAAAGTATCATCGATGACAACGAGCTTGTGAAGGGACTGGTGTTTAACAAGGTGAGCCATGCCACTGGTGGCACCAGCATCATGAAGAATGCCCATGTGCAGATAAAGCTTGACAATGTTTTGGGGTTTGGTGGAGGAAGGTGACTGGTATTTGAGGGATATTTTTTAAATATACATTTTTTTAGGAACTTTGTTGCAATCCTAACCTTTAAATAATAAAATATTGAAATTAATTATAAACCACAGATGATGAAGTAGTGATGAGTTGAACTTTCGTTATCCAGCTCATCGCTTAACAGAAGTTAATTAAAATTTAATTAATGGTAGGGACAAATTTTTAATAGGTTTGAAAAGTTGGAGACTATATCCTCACATTTTTTTGTAGGGACTAAATCCAAGACATGCAACTTTGTAAAGACCAATTACTCTATTAAGCCTATCACAAAATTTACAATAAAATCTTTCATATTTTTCTCTCTCAAAACAGTATTATAATTGTTAAGAAGAAAGAAGAATTAGAAACATAAGATGAATCCACGTGTCTCAACTACACAACAGCATATATTTACATCCATAGTAGTAATAATAACAAAATATTTACAGGATATTCAGTTATAAAATTAACATAATTAAAAAGATAAATTTATCTATTATTATAATTAGATATGTTTAATACTCCCCTCAAGCTGGAGCATGTAGATCATATGCACCAAACTTATTACATACAAGTAATATGGGGTCCTTTCAATGATTTGGTCAAGATATTTGTCAGTTGATCATTTGAATTGACAAATTTAGCGCAATGTCTTCCCATAAAATTTTCTCACTAATAAATCACAATCTATCTCAATATGGTTGCTCTGTCATGGAACCTTGGATTTGAGGCAATATATAAGGTTGCGTGATATTCTGCTTCTGCACGGGTATCATTTTCATAACCTCCCAAAATCTTAGTTTTTTAAACAATTGTTTATACTATATAAAATCACATGTAGCTAAAGTCATGGCCTATATTCTACTTCTACACTTGAACAAGCAACTACACTTTGTTTCTTACTTTTCAAAGAAGTCAAACTACCATCAATAAGAACGCAATATTCAGAAGTGGATCTTCTATCATTAAGGGAGCTTGCCCAATCTACATTAAAATAACCCACAATTTGAGTCTGACCCCCATCTTCATAGAAGTGTCTTATTACTGGAGCTCCTTTAATGTATTTTAGAATGCAAATTATTACATCCCATTGTCTTTCACAAAGGGAGTTAAGAAAATGACTTATCAACTCCTATACTTCTTGGGATTAGAAAGAGACTCCCTCCAACTTAGCAAAAGTTTGAAATTAGGATCTATATGAGTGTTGATAGGTTTGGCACCCACACCCATCAATCCTACTTCCTCTAAGATATCCAATGCTTACTTCCTCTGAGAAATCACAATGTCATTCTTAAATTGTGTCACCTCTATTCTCAAGAAGTATCAAAGTCTGCTAAGATCATTTGTCTCAAAATGGTAAAACATGATGCTTTATCTGTGCAATGTCATGGTGATCACTACTAATAATAACATTGTTGTCGATATAAACAATCAAATAAATACATCTTGAAGTAGAATGACAATAGAAAATTGAGTAATCAACTTTACTTTGAGTCATTCCAATACTGGAAAGGAAACATAGTTCCAAAAAAACTTTCCCTAGTGGACAGGGGGCCCACCAGATAACATATAGACTAGGGTTTGTCTTCTGGTAGGCTCTAACACCATGTTGAGAAGGAAGAGAAATGAGAAACATAGGATCAATGTGTGTCTCAACTACATAATGGAGCATACATTTAAATTGATGATAGTAATAATCACAAAATATTTTATAGGATATTCAGTTACCTAATTAATACAATTACAAAGACAAACTTCTCTATTAATATAATTAAATATATTTAACAACTTTAATAAATAACACAGAAAAGATCACCCAGCAAGGACACAGGAAATGGAAAGGTGTATTTCTTCACATGTTTGGGAATGTAAATAGAATCAATTACACAAAGATAATTAACATTCGTTAAATTTGCATGATCCAACTCATGCATAATAAGAGCATGACACATCTTGCAAACGCACAAAATATTCTTAGAGACCAAGTGACACATTGCTGCTTGAAGCACTCATAAAGTTGACAGTCTCTAATACATGCTTTTCACACTTATTATTCAATGAAACTCACATATGACAACAAAAGTCTTGTCCAACTAGGTCACATGATACCATTAGGCTAAAATTCTGAATTTCTGATAAATATTATTTAACAAAAAATGTTTTCTAGTAATTTCTTTTCTTCCAAACTTCATTTTGGCATCCGTTTGACGCTTTTCACAAGGCTTCATGTGATCAACTCTCTTCCCGAGTATCTTCAAAAGCCTTCTTTACGAATGCTCAATAGGTATCTAAAAGAATGTTAGGAAGGAAGAAAAGAATGAGAGAAAAGAAAAGAAACTCTGTTAGGAGTTTTTCAATATATTCTTGAGAGATTGTTTAGATAAGTTACATATATATATGTAGCTGGTGTTGAGCGCTAACGGATTCTATAACTAACTAATAAAAACAGAAAAACTGATACAAAACTAATACAACTAAAATACAAAACTAGCTAAACTAATACAACCGAGTTGGATACTCTAATAGTATCACTTCAACATCTCCTCATATAAAGCCAACTATTGGTGTGTTTTTTCTCATGTAACCACACATCCATCTTAACATCTTCATTTATGCTATTCACACTTTATTTTTGTGTTGCTCTTCTAAAACCTAGCACACACTATCATAAAGGATAGTCAATCGCATAGCAATTCCGCAAAACTTTTCTTTAAGCTTGATAAGTATTTGGTACCCAAATAATTGCTAATTCATTTCTCCATTTTAATCACACAACTTCTATTATGTGTATCATCATTAATTTCTCCTCAAGCTGTAAAATTGACCCAGATACTTAAACATATGAACCTTAGATATTACATTATTGTACTCTTATATGACCACGTATCTTATATGATAGTGAATGTTGAACTTTAAGCATTGTTTAAGAGTTTGGAGGGAGGGGGAAGGAAAAAGTTTGAAGGGTAAGGAAGAGAAGAGAAGGAAGGATAGTTAATTAAAAATCATCCAATGGTAGTGTTTCTCAACGAAACTGCCACGACCATGGCGAAAAATAGCAGTTTTGAGTGACAGCACCATGGCATTTTTGACAAGAGAAATTGGGTTGGGTTATGGACCTGACCCGATACAAAAAAAAAAAAGAAAAATCCGCGAGCCCAAACCCTAAATCACATAATCACATCTCTTACTCATCGCTATTGCAATGGCATGGAGCGGCGGTCGGTCATGTGATGCCCGCTACCATGAAGTATTTCTTCCGTTGCAAAGGTTAAGCCCTAATGCAAACAGTTCTCATTGTGGGTGTGCATTTTTTAAGTGTAATGGAGAAAGGGAGCAAAAGTCCGATCTTGCCCTTGCTACAATGTCATTTAGGGATTTTTTTAAAGAGCAAAATGGACTTTTGCCCACTTAAAATTTTTTACTTCTCTTCTCAAGCGGTACGTACACATGTTCTCTCTACTTTGTTTTTCTTCCTTCTCCTTCACCATTTTCGCCGGAGAAGACATTCTTTCCGACAACTATGAGGGGAGGGTCTTGTTTTTCGACATCTATTTTCCATTTTGCTTCTCTTGGCTCTGCTTTTCTGCTTCATACAGTGCTCTATTTGTCACTCTCTTTGCCTCTATTTTGCTTCTTGTGGTGCTATGTTCTGCTTCAAAAAGTGTTCTGTTTCTCACTTAGTCATCATCTTCAATTTCCCTCTTCTTTAGTTTTTATTTTTTCCCTCTCCTATTCTATTTTATTTTCTATTCTATTTTTCCCTCTCCCATTCTGTTTTACACCCCCATTTATTTCGTTTTTCCTTATTTTGTTTTCTTGATTCTATTTTTCTGTTTTCACCTCCAAGTTTCCTTCTACATTTTATTTTTAATTCTCTATTTTTCTGTTATAATTTCCAGCTTTTTTTTCTCTATTTTACAACCATTTTATTCTTTTCTTTTTCTCAAAACTTTCTTTCTTTCATTATGACCACCGTGCTTCTGCCATAACCCGTCATGGCATCCGCCATAGTTTTATGGCAGTTTTTTTGCTTTCTGCCATGACCCTCCATTAATAACATTGCTCTCCTCCAAAAACTCTCAAACAAAGATGAGAAAAAACTAACTCGCAAACAAAGTCTAAAGGAACATGAGAAAAAAGTGAGAATTGCAAAAATGAAAATGCTAAAAAAGATTCAAAGTCACACAAGAAAGGAAAAAATTAGAAATGATTGTATAGCCAAAAATATTGTAGTAGTAACTGTTGTTCAAATAAGGCCACAAGAGACACTAACGAGGAAAGTGGATGCTATGACTTTTAGTTTGGTGAAAAGAGGTAGAGATACCAAAAGAACTTTAGAGAAAATTATTAAACAAGATCTAGCGATAAATAATATCGTAGAATTTAATTTATAACTGAGTTCAATGATATCATGCAATTCATATAGCCAACCTCATTTAATGGGGATACATTTGGTTATTGTATGACATTATCTCCAATTCTTACCACCAAATAATTTTTATCTTGTTTTTTTTCTAAAATTACAATACATATACGCTATTTTACTCCTACTCAAACAATAAAACTTCGATTCCAAAGTCGATCTCCAGAATTCATGTTTAGAATTAACCTCTTCCCTTCATTCTCTAATTAGGAATATACACAAAAAGTATGAACTTAAGGATAAATTTTTGTGTCTCTAATAAACACATTCAAGAAAAGGATAGACAAATAAGGACTAAAGGCTAAGCCTTAATATAAACCTATCCGTGTAGAAAAGTCTTCAATCACATTCAAAAATTCTCACACTTGTAGTTACTCTATCGTACAAGTCTTGTATAACTCGCATATAAGTCACACATACTTTTTCATTCTAAAACCTTCCACAACACTTCTCTTGACACACAAGCATTTCTCTTAGGGCATATGTTTGTCACAGTATCATTGACTTAATTGTCAACCCGCTGGTTTGAAGTAGGTTTACTTTTTCTAAAATTCTCAAGTATTGTGAAAATTTGCATCATCACACAGAATAGGCATGCCATCACTCAATGAACTAATATTTTCCAATCTCCTAATGCATGTTTGTAATTGCAAATATTGACTTTAAAAATGTTTTTTGCAATTACTTCCTGATCACAGGATTGACTACATAATTCTGACTTCTACAAGGTAACACCATATTATGTTCTGAGAAAGTAGATGAAACCCAGATATTCAATATTCACATAGGCATACTTAACCAGATCAGCCTGCCAACATTGAACTACTCAGTTAGAATGACATTTCTCATAATTTTTAGTTACAAAAACAAGTCAACCCCATCTTCATTAGTATCAGATGAAATAGATGAAGACCACCACTACGCCCAAATAATTCACATTCTCTCTTGACAAACAACCAGCATCAAAGGTTCCCACTTAATACAAACAATGAAATTTATGATACCAGACCAACATCAGCTAGATGATTAGCATCCTTGACCAATTTATTATACACAAATACTTAATCAACAGTAGAAAACAATTCCATAGATTAAAAAATATCTTCAAATGAAAAGCACAACATTGATCACATACTACAAATACAAAGAAACTTCTTGATCCCTAAAATCATGCATCAAAAGTAAACAGGAGTATTAAACTATCAACACAAGAGCAAAGACCAGAAGTTCCAGAACTATGTGTATAACCAAACACTTTAGTTGTCCCACTACACCAATCATTTCATCCATGCATAATATCAAACTATCAACACAAGCATCAAATAGAAGTTCCTGAACGTAATATATTAAACCAAATATTTTAGTTGATTCACAATATTGATTGCAATATAGGAAAAGGACAGCATCTTGATTTTACTGCCCCCTTCCATCTATGTAGTCCTTTTAAAATACACTTTAAACATCGTACTTAAGTAGTTCTTCTGTGCAATATTAGCATATGTTGTTCAAAGCAAGAATGTGAATCAAACATGTGATCACTACCTGGTCAATAATATCATCCAAAGGATTGTTTGGAAGATCCAAAGAACGAACGATCTCTAATATTTTTGTCTTGCGTTCCAAGGCAGCGTCATACCTGATATAAGGTAATAAAACATTCATGACTTCCCTACTCTTATTTTGTTTTTTGTTTTTTTTCGACCCACCTAAGTTTGTTTAATAAAAGATATAGCTAGTTCTTCCATTGGTAACAAATTATTCAACATTTAATTAACACCAAAGAATTCATGAGAAATGTTAAAATTCCAACACCTCTTCTGAAGTTCAGCTATGTATGCCTGTCGTGCTTGAAGATATTCATCTGTTTTTTCCTTACACAAATGGCAGGACCACTCTTCAGGAATTATATCACCAATTGGTGGCATCAAGCATGTGGAATGGACTAATTTACCGCAGCAGGAACACTGTAGCAGTTTTTTCCTTTCCTGCAGGGGAAATTAAGTGATTCCTGCATCTCCAGAATTAAAACAATTCAAGAGATTTAAAAAATAATAAGCAAAGAAAAACTACCTCCTCTGTAGTGCAAATTTCACAGATCTGAAACTCGTCATCAGAGTCAGTAGATTCAATAGCAGAGTCAGCTGCATCAAACCAGAGGAATCTTAATAAAATACAAACAAGCAAAACAGCAAGTTTCAAATGCCTTCTAAAACCATCAAATTTCACACACTAGATGTTTAATACAGATATCATCAGAATATGGACAAAAAAATTAGGTAATTGCAATATTTGCTTCAAGGTTGACATGTCTAATTAAGAGAGCATACTCCATAGACAAAAGAGTAGACCAAATGAACACATACATCATAAGCAAATAGAAATAATCACACACACAAATGGCACTGATGCAATTGGAAAAAGTGCAAAAACAAAACATGAGACAGGGGTAGGTACACCTTTGGGGTATGTTTGGGAGAGGACTTTTAGAGCATAAGGGAGGAAAGGGCCTAGTTTTCAATTTTAAATTAAGATAATTAGATATTATTTCTGATGATAAATACATGATTAATAGATTTAACTTGGTTGAGCCAATTTGAAATTCTAATGGCCTTTTGTTTTAAGGATATGTTTTCTGTTTTCACTAATAATTGTAAAAGTGTCACCTTATTTTTAATTTGTTTGCTGTTCTTTACAAGAAATGATATATACAGCTTTACCATTTCCTATACCAAATTTAGTAAGTGTTTAATTTCTGTGCTCAGTTAGTGTAAACAATGAGAACATGAAAATGTTACTCACAAAATACAAGCTGAGTGATTAAAGTGGAAAAAGGCATAATGAGTTATTTGTAACCGTAAAGTACTTATCAAGTTGAAAAGAAAGTTTTACCATACTGCAATATCACCAGCGATCTTATATGATAATGAATGTTGAACCTTAAAGGAACAACACAGAAAAAAATTGAGTGTGGCAAAAATGAAAAGTTAAGGTGGTTGAGTTGATACACAAGAAAAGACAAAATGCAAAATGATAATATACGAGAAAATATTAGAGTAGTACTTATAATGGAAAAGATGACTTAAAATTGTTTAAGGTTGTTTAGTCATGTGCAGAGAAGACCTTTGGAGGAGCCAGTAAGAAAACTAAATTGCATGACTCTTAGTCTGGTAAAGAGTTGAGCGAGACTCAAAAAATCCTTGGATGAAGTTATTAAAAAGGACCTTCTAATTAACTAGATTTCTGAAAATATAGTTTTTGACTGAGCTCAACGGACATGTGATCCATCTAGCCGACCTCACCAAGCAAGATAAGGCTTGGTTGTTGTTGTTGTGTTAGTATAAAGGGTTTTACACTATCAACCAATTAGCATACATTGTAGATATGATTTTTATATTAATTATTACAAAAACCAATGATTCTTGTTATGGCAATCCATGATTGGGTAGCAATGTAAAAATATTGTACACTATTAGTGTACTTCGTTGATATGTAAATGTAGTAATTAGACTCATTGCTAGGTAAATACAGTAAATAGAAATGCAATATCAAGATTACCTTTATTAGATAATATTGTGTAATTAATATAGATTCTTGTATACTAGTATAATTTTAAACCTTGGGGTCAAATGCAAAATATATAGAAAAGTTTTCAATATTAATTTTCTTTGCTTGCTACAATAAGTTTAAACCTTGGTTCCAAATTCCAATCTAGAATTTTCTTTGCTTGCTACAATAACTGTCATTGCTTGACCCCAATCTCCATTGTTGTCATCTTTTTGGTGATCTGAGGCTGCATCAAAGAGCTACCTCCGTCAATGGGCATGCAACTCAAGTGCTACTCTTGTTTGCATGCTTCCAATTCCAATCTTGCTCTAGCGCCCTCGTCTAGCATCTTCCCACCCTCTAGCACCTCTGCTAGTATAGTTTTTGGTCCATTTCTCTCTTCTTCTTTTCCTCTACACTGGGTCCATGATGTCAAACTCGAAGAGCATCGTTTTGACCTTCACCACCATACCTATGATCCCATGTGAGAAGCTTGTCAGAACTGCCAATTATTCTTCTTGGACATAAAAGCAAGACCTTCACCACTATACCTATCATGGCTGAATTTAATGTTATAAAGCTTTTTACTAGTAATGCAGAACAGCATGCTCAACTGCATAGCAAATTTTTCATGGTCTTCCACCAAAACTTGAATTTGTTCGCAATCAGGTTCTTTTCAATCTAACAATTCCATCATATGATTCCGTCTCTAAGCTACTAGTTATGTCGACTACTTTTTGCAGCACCCACATTGCCAACTGCTCCTCCTATAGAGTCCAGACTTGTCATGAATTCCTTTCCTCATAGAGGACATGGGGAATGGGGATGTTGTGGCTGTACCAAGATTACCTCCAATACAAGGCCGTCATGCAATCCACTCCACTTCTCACCTCTGACTCAAATAGGTTCCCCTGTTGCCTCAAATCCAGTTTTTCATGAAAGAACAAAGCATATTGAGATAGATAATCATTTTATTAGGGAGAAAATCTTATCCAGATACATCACCACTAGCCTTGTCAATTTGAATGATCAACTAAAAGATATAATCACTAAATCATTGAGAGGTCATCGTATTCATTATACATATGTAACAAGCTTGGCGCATATGCTCTATATGCTCCATCTTGAGGGAGTGAGCTAAATATATGTAATTATAGTAATTAGGAAAGTGAAAGTTCATGTTGTAATTATTAATTTATTACTATTATTAATATAAATATATGCTCCGTTGTATAGTTGAAACATATGGATTCATCCTATGTATTCTCATTTCCCTCACGGACATCTTCTCAACTTGTTCCTGCCCATGCTCTCTCCACACCTCCTCCTTTCCTTCCATTGGAGGAATCACACATACTGATTCACATCAATTGGAGCTCAATTCTCTATATTCATATGCTACTCCAACTGCCTCTTTGCCTCTGTTTTAAGAACATGTCTAACACAGTGCATTAACGTCATCAGGAGGCTGAGACCAAGAGACAGTGCCTCAATTCATGCTTTACAGCAGAGGATGCAATTCTGAAGGTCATCAAACTCAGATCCTACCTACCATAGGTAGGACATAATGGACTGACACATGAAATGAGGCACTGTAACAAGAAACAGAAAATTCTACCTCTACGTAAAATATACTAAAATGTAAAAATATTTACATTAAAAATAACCCAAATGGCAGAACACTTTTAAAGCCACATTATCACACCCGCTCACACAATACAGACACAGTCCAAGGGACCAACTCGCAGCAAAATGGAAAATTCAACTAGCACAAGTTCAAGGCCAGAGATAATCATAAATTTTTCAGTTGCAGCACCAAGGGATTTAGCATAGGCTGGAATCTTCTGGGTTTGGGCTGGGTATTTTCTGAAAGTTGGCTGCTCATCCCAGCACATAGAGTCGCAAGGTGGGAATTAGTAGGATACAAACTGGAATATGATCCTCAGTGGGATTGAGATTTTCAATATCCTTCCAAACTTGTAAAATCATACGACCATGATTTTGATTTGATAAATTATATTCCTAATTGAAGAATCAAGAGACCAAGTAAATTGTAAACTTAAATTGTGGAAAGAGGTTTCCAAATTCAACAATTTTTGGTTAAGAAAAGATAGACAATTTGGAATGAAATATCAGCAATAAACAAGTTATCAATGTCATAACATGTATATTGAGAACTAAGGACCACACAATACCATAATTTCATTTTCAATTTAAGATAAATACACCATAATACAAGTACCATGGTTCAGTTAGAGGTATTGTGCAACAATCCTATAAGTGATGAGAATATTGGGAGATATGAAACACATTATTCAAACTAGATGAATGAAGTCGGGAAATGCTTCAGATGTGAATTGTGACATCAAGGTGCTATCAAACTCATTATACAATACATCACAAGACCGAAAAATGATCTATGCTTATAATTGTTAGACAGTGAAGAGCCAACAAGAGTGAAAATTACATGTAGAGATGAGAATTGTGTAAGGAATGAGTGAACATAACCCAAAAACCAAAAAGATCAAGAACAGCTGTGCTTGAGAGAAAATTGGAAAACATCAATTCAGGAAAAGATGACACAAGTATATCTATAGGGGGTTTGATCATGTAAAAGAGAAAACCAACAGTTTCCAGGATGAAGAGTAAATCCAATGGAAGATAGTGGTTAAAAGGTAAAAGAAGACCAAAGAAAACAATAAAAAGAGAGATCTTAATTGAAATGATTTTTCTGAATATTTGACTTCTTCAATAGCAACAATGGCTTCATTTATTCAATTTAGCTGATTCAACACAGTTGTAAACATAGTTATCAATCCTGGATAGCAGTGCGTAGCAGATGACCCTCAAAAGGCTATTGCAGGATAGCATATACAAGGATGACCACTATTTTAATACTTTTTATATTGATAAACAACGCATATACATATGCAGCTAATTGTCTATATAATGCTCACAAAAATACTCATGAATAAAGCATATGAATAATTATCAAGACATACGTCTTACGCAAAATATACAAGTAAATCAGATGTGGCCATTGCTAGTTGTTCACTGTTGCTTAGAAGACAGCAGAGAACACAACAGAGGCAGCACAAGAATCAAAGAATAGAGAGAAGAAACGAAGAGGATTTTACTAGAACAGTCATTGGAGATGGGTGCCTCTGCTGAAATGGAGATACTTGTCAAGCAGAATAGAGACAAAGATGAGAGGAGGCAGCATCTAACAGAGAAAGGGAGAAGAAAAATGTGGGGGAAAAGTGGGGTTTGGTCATGTATCTAAAGTTGTTAAGCAGAACAGAGACAGAGATGAGAGGAGGGAGTGTCAAACAGAGAAGAGAAGAAAATCGTCGGAAAAAGTGGGGTTTGTTAATGTATCTTTGCAAAGCAGAACTGAGACAGAGATCAGAGGAGGGGGCGTCGAACAAAGAACAGGAGAACAAAAATGTGGGGGGAAAAGTGTGGTTTCAGTCATATAATTTGAAAAGTGGGAAGAAGACTATTTTAGCCTTAATAAATCTCAAAACTGTGTCATCTTAAGGGCGAAAAAGGAAAATCAGCTTATTTCTTAAAGGTAAGAAGTCTTTTTTACACTTAAAAACCCTAAAAACTGCTTCATTTTGAGGGTATAATGGAATAGTTAGCATTTCTCACTGTAGCAGCACTATTGTGCCACAAAAGGCCATGTTTTGGGCAACGACAGCAAAATGCTCAACTATGTCAGATTCGTGCGCCCGAAAGCATCTCTGCCACTCATTGCCGCTATTGCACGCTATTGACAACTATGGTTGTACAAGGTCTTGGATGTTGATAGTAAAATGCATTAATAGCTTATGCAACTGAAGCGTGACAGGAACAAGGATAAGTGCACAAGATTCAAAAATTCTGTTTCTAGGAGACTCACTTTCAGACTCTTCATCACTTTCAGCATCACTAGGAGCATGCCACTTGGCTACTTTTCTGACCCTTCCTTTTACTGAAACACCAGGAGTTGCAGAGTGCCTCTTCCTTTGGAGTTCCTTTACCCCATCCTCTCCTACAATACAAGAGCTAGTAAATGCACAATGAAGAAAATAAATGAGAGTCATCTAGCAAAACAAAGCTCAAACCTGGGAGAAGTTCAGGTTTTTCTGGTAATGGGTAATTTTCTTCCACAAATTTAAGTAGCAATTCTCGAGGTCCAGAAACAAAGTCATCAAGTTCAGAACCCTATCCAAAATAATAAAGAATGTCAGAAAACTGAAATGCAGAAGAAAAAACTGCATTATATGGAAATGAAAACAGAATTTAAATACACACATATTTTGTCACAGCTTCCTCTGTCCTAGCTTCTCCGGTACTCTGAAGTCCAATGACTACACACTTTTCTTCAACTAATGCTTGCTTTGCCAGTCTCACAGTAGCAGGGACTTTAGCAGACATACACAGGTGTCTAAAGAAACGCTACAGCATTACAAGGAGTATTAACACACAAAGAAACAATGAAATATTCCGTATGCAAACAAGAGGTGTCAAAATAGAGATTGTATCTTTAGGCACCACTTGAGCTTTAATACCTGGTGGCTTGCCCAATATAATCGCCATAGTTGACTACAATTAGGTTTATCATTTAGGAAGGCACAGGCTGACAGCAACTCCACTCGTAATTCAGCCCAAAATTCTGCTGCCTTTCTATAAATTTCCTAAGAAGTTAGATATGAACAATAGATCATCAGTTGAAAAAAATTGAACTCAAAAGGATAAATTTCCACAGAAAATATAGACAATTATATATGTTATAACTACATGAAAATAACATTGAACAGTGCAGCCTGGAGTTCTCTACAACACCAATCTCTTTCCTCACCATACTTAAAACAAATGCAAAAAGAATTAAACTACACAAAAGAAAATGAAAAGGTAAATTCCAAATTCATCATAAATAAAATACCTACCATATATGAGAAAGAACAAAACTTGTATACAGTTCCATGGGTACTTTTGGTGCTGCTTTTCAATAGAATAGAGTTTCACCTTGGTATACTACAATAACCTTAATTGCTGACCTTTTACCAAGGTGAAACACTAATTCTGATTGAAAACAGCACCAAAAATAAGAATTGTACCCAATTTATATCCCATGAGAAAAATTAAATACATGCACATGTGCAAGTGTCTGTGAATCAAAGTTGGTCCTAATGGTCAAGTGAATCACCTTAAAGCTCATCTTGTAGCAAAAGGTTATACTCAAATCTTAGGCTTGGATTATGATGACACATTCTCTCTAATAACTAAAATGACTTATGTCCGCATGATTTTATCCATGGCTGTCATCTGCCACTAGAACATTAATCAACTTGACATTAAAAATGCATTCCTTCATGGCGACCTTGCTAAGGAAGTTTATATGGAGCAACCTCTAGATTTGTTGCTTAGGGGGAATCTTCAGGATTAGTTTGTCGTCTTTGAAAATCTTTGTATGGTCTTAAACAGTCTCCAAAAGCTTGTTTTGGTAGATTCAGCATTGTTGTTCAACATTTTGGGATGATTCGGAGTGAAACTGATCACTCAGTCTTTTATCACCACTCAGCCACAAGATGCATTTACCTGGTTGTGTATGTAGACAAATATTGTTATCACTAATAGTGACCATCATGGCATTACACAGTTGAAGAACCATTTATTTCACTATTTTTTGACAGAAGGCCTTGGTAGACTTTGATATTTGTTAGGAATAGAAGTGGCACAATCCAAGCATGGTATTGTAATTTCCCAAAGGAAGTACGCATTGGATGTATTAGAAAAAGCAAGTTTGCTGGGGGCCAAATTTATGGATACTCTTATGGATCCTAATTCTAAACTCTACCAAGTCCAAGATAGCCTCTTGCTGACCCAGGAAAGTATAGGAGATTGGATGGAAAACTAAATTATCTCACAATTACTCGACCTAACATCTCTTTTGTTGTTAGTCTGATCAGCTCCTCAACGCTCCTTGTGAAGGACATTAGAATACATTGATTCGCATCTTGAGTATATAAAAGGAGCTCGGGGAAAAGGTCTCCAACACGAGGACAAAGATCATGATAAGATTATTTAATATTCTAATGCAAGTTATGTAGGCTCTCATGATAGTAGGTCCCTTTTTGGCTATTGTGTTTTGATTGGAGGTAATATGATTTCCTAGAAGAGCAAGAAGCAAAATTTGGTTTCTCTTTCTAGTTCAGAAGTAGAATATCGAGTCATAGTTTCAACTAAATGTGAATTTATATGGCTGAAACAACTATTTAAAGAATTAAGATTTGGAGAAGATAACCAAACAGCCTTACACATTGCCTCAAATTTAGTCTTGCATGAATGAACAAAGCATATTAAGATTGATTGTCACTTCATTTTTGTCAAAAGATCTTATCCAGAGTTATTGCCACAAGCTTTGTCAATTCAAATGATCAACTAGTATATGTATTCACGAAATCTGTAAGAGGTCCTTGTACTAAGTACATATGTGAAAAGCTCGATGCATATGATTTATGTGCTCCAACTTGAGGAAGTGTTAAATATATGTAAATATGTTATTTAGAGAAATAGTATCTGTGTAATTATAGTAATTAAGTAATCGTAAATATGTTATTTAGGGAAATAGTATATGTGTAATTATAGTAATTAAGTAATCGTATATTTGTTCTTGATTACATAGATATGATTTTGATTACTGTTGTTAATATAAATACATAACCCATGGTGTAGTTGACACACACATGCCTTCTCGTTTTCTCTCATCTTAACAGATACAAATAAAGACAAATATACATTTGATATTCACCAACAAAACCAAATGAAAGATAAACCAAATGACAGAAAAAGAAAAGGCTGACTACTTCATAGCATGTCTCAAAACTAACAAACAGGCCACTAAAACTGGTTAATTTATGCTCTACTAATTATTTACAAATGCCAGTCAATATTTTACCAGATAATCTCCAAATTGTTTCTGCTATAGAACAATTATGGCTTTGCTAAATAATACTTAGTAAACAAACATGTCTCATACCATCATTTTATCTTCTAATGGTGCTTCAATAACTTCAAATTCAGCACCCTCATAACTAAGTGTTCGACATAAATACATGCCCCTACAATGAAAAAAATGAAGCAGATCAGGATATCTTTCATTAGCATGTATGTTTAGAGGGCTGAAGGTTGGTTTCTGCAAGAAAATATAACCTTGCTTTCATGTCCATGGCAACTAATTCAAGAGCTCCAACCCCCCCTCTGTCAAGAGCACCTGGATTTATAAATTTAAATCATTATCTTCACAGACTAGAGGGAAATGGGACGATAGGCAATAAACACATGTAAGTAGCAAGTATATAGGAAATTCTTGAATATTAATTATACAGCTACAGTAAGTTGAAAATAAAACAATCATAAAATATTTGTCTCAGTTATCAATCTTGAATAGTAACATATAGCAGCCAAAACAAAAAAATGCTATAGCAGGATGACCACTATTTAGAATTTTTATATGCATATTAAATAATTAATACTGTGTACATAAATGCTAAAAAAAAAAAACCTCAATTTAAGACATGTTCAAAATAAAAAATAAAAGGTCAAAGATCTTAAGCAAAACATATATAAATAACAATAAAAGTCAAAAATCGCACCAAACAATGCATTTTTAAGGGCAAAATTGAGTTTGTTTTTTTTTTTCTTTTTGAAGTCTCACTTTGCACTGGTATAGCAGGCAATGCAGCCACTGTTTTGGCCACTATTGTAGGTGGTAGGTGCTATAGTCGCTATTTGAAAACACTCCACTTCTCAAATTTTGTAGCAACCTCAGGCCGCTCCACTATTCTGCTATAGCCCTCTATTGATAACTATGATTTGTCTATCTATATATTCATAAATGTTTTTGAAGTAAAAGTACAGGTACAAATTGGTTATCAAACAAATAGCAATATGTAAATGAAAATAAATAATACATCATCAACTAGACAAGCATAATTTACTGCCAAATGTTGAAGCATACAGTGTATGAAAGGGAAAAGAAAGTCCAGGAATGGATTTATGTAAAAAATTATTTTATGAAAGAAAGAAAATGGAAAAGATGAAAATCACTAGTTATAAGTGTATTTCATTAAAGAAAAGGAAAAGAATGGATAAGAAACTACCAAGAAATTCCCGGAAGTCAGAGAATGAAGTCCCATCTCCCCAGAGACCAAGTCGAACCATATAACCCATATTGCGAGGTTCAGATGCTCCAGTCGCCGAGCAGTAAACAACACGAGCTTCAGGTAGTCGATCCTATGAAATTATATTGCAATAAAGAGAAAACATTTGTACCCACAATTTCAATGTTAAATATTGCAAAGTAATAATTTGACTTAAGCTTACATTAATGCAGATAAAGCAAGAAACACACATGCAAGAGAGAAAGGGAAGGCATAAAGGAGAAGAAAACTATTCGCAAAATAAGCCAAAGACAGTAGATAAATTTTACAGAAGTTGTTATTGTTTAAAAACACCAAAACAAAAGGGAAAATACTTAAGGGCACTGATTAAGGAATTAAAAGAATTTTTTTTATTGGAAAATATAAAAATGCACTCACCTCTGATTTCCAATGCATTCCAACGTGATTTTAAATAAAAATTTACTATTTATCGATTCCTTAACAGTGCCCCCTTGTTAGCAAGAACCAAACAAAAACATAACATAAAATCACTTTATAAATAAGACAACTATCTATTTTCTAGTTGACCTCATACTGCAGAGGTGGGGAAAGGAACATTTGAGATAGTCAGCTGGTAAAGCTTTTGATATGCGAGAACATCATCCCATGCAAACCTTTTATTTTAACAACTATAACAAGACCACTTCTGTTATCTTACAGATAAACCACGAATATGCTTTTGATGGAGTTAAAAATTATTAGCTCCTTGTAGATATCAAATAATCAAAATAAGAAGCATAGGTCACAAAACAAGTTACTTGATAATGTATGTTGTTTCAAGATACAATGTGCGTTTGAATCCCTTAATTATTCTCAAAATACCATAGGCAGAAAACCAGGCATACAATTCTATTTTACAGAGACAATGAAAGTTAAGATACACTCATGCCAACTACACTACACAAAAAATAAGCAGACTTCCACAACCACTTGCCCTCTTTTACTCTACCAAAACCCCAAAAGTGAATTAATAGAAATTGCTTCAACAGACCAAGACAAACAAATTTCTTATCAATGAAATGGTGCAATATTCCCTTTCCTGACGATAAATCCCAAATCCCCAACAAACACACATCCTTTTCCAACTAGGTAGGATCAAGACCAATATGACATGGATTGTTGAACAGTTTTGTACATGGTGCAGGTGCAGGTACACAGCATGGTACCAAGGAGTATTTTAGTAGTAGGTCCAAACCCCCAATTAAACAAATCTACGTAAGAAGAGAGAGAAAGGAACCAAGGCCCAAAGGTTTAGAGAAGCCCAATTAATTGAGCAGTTGTAAATAAACCAATAATAAATACAGAAGAAAAAGGAGGAGGGGAAGATGATTCGGTTAGACAATTGGATTTGGGTCAAGAAAGACCAGGCTCTCGAATTCCTGGAAATATTTGTTGTATTCATTCAAACTTTGCTCAATTGTGGGTAATCCAGTCTCAGTTGAAAACATTCAATAAAGAGAAGTATTTTCTTCTGTTGTTCTTTAGAGAATTTTCAGTTTCTTAGAGAGTACACTAAGTCAGTTCACAATTTAGGATCAGAATGTCTAAACCTCAAAATATCATATCAAGCTACAATGCATGGACACTACTGCCCAAGCAGGTATTGCAGTGTTGGACACATTTCCGACACCAATATGTGTCGGACACCTGGATCCAAGTGTCAAAAAATATTGTATTTTTTAGGCTCAAATACAGCTCCAACACAGCCAAAACATTCAGCTGACACTTCTAAATGGCTGCCGAGAGCAAGGACACTGCAAGCATTAAATTTTATTTTATTTTTATTTTTCAAAAAACTCAATTTTTAAATGTTTAAACTTTAAAATAAAACACAGCTCAAAAACGCTTGTTTCTTCAATTCTTCCCCACACTTCTTCCTCTTCTATTTTTTTTGCCGCACTCGACGTCTTCAACTCCCTCTTTGCTACACCTCCAATGATGGTGATCAGTGGTCATGGATCTGTCTCTGTTTTCAAACTCCACTTCTCATCACACTTCTCTGCTTTAAGCTGGTAGCATGTTAAGTAACCCCCATTAATAGTTTGTTTAAATAGATTACATAGTTATCAATTAGTTAGTTATACTAGTAGGTCATTAGTTATTTAGGAAAGTTAGTTTGAACATGGCATGTTGCCTATAAATAACAAAAGGGGTTGAGAGGAAGATATTATCTGGTGATTTGAGAGGAAATACAAATTGTTGTGGGAGAGTCTAATAGAAACTTTTCTTTTTACAATTCTGATCCAGTTCTATCAACTGATATCAAAGCTCTGATTTTGGAGCTGTGGGTATTGAGTTCTTGAAGATGATTCCAACATTTGATGGATAGGAGACCTATTGGTGGCTGATCCAGGTTGAGCAGTATTTTGAAGCAACTGGAATGCACGAGGCAGAGAAGCTATCAAAGGCAGCAAAGGCTCTAAGAAGTGATGCTTTCAACTGGTGGCTAACATGGAAATGGTGCCAACCAATATGCAGACTGGTGGACATTTGTGAAGGCACTGATCAAAAGATTCCAACCAGTATGTGATTTTTTTCAACCAGGGTGGGAAGAGTTGCAAGAGCATGGGGAGAGAAGAAATAGAAGCAATGATGACAATTTTGGGTGCAAGAAAACAGACGAGAAGATGAGGGCATTAGAGATAATAGAACCAGCAGCTCAAGGACATGAAATGAACACAAGAGAAGCTACAAGAATTGGAAGAAACACAACAAAATTCTGGACAAAGAATTAGAAAACAAAAGTAAAAATAAAGTTCTTGAAATCAAGAATCACAGTGGCAGAGATGACAAAGGGAAGGAAGGGTCTTTCTCTGGGTTGCAAAGAGGAGACAGACTCTTTTCAGCTTGAGCAGAAAGCCTAGGACTGATCCGATGACAACAATTGAGGGTTTGGGTTTGGCCAGTATGACTATGAACATCCCACCACCTCTGCCCAACCCAGTGACTCATTTTCTCTCATGAAATGGGGACAGATGTAATGAAATTTTGCACCTCAAGTGAGGCAGACAAGCTGCTCCTCCCCGAACCACCTGACTGTGGTGCATGTGCGGAGGCTGAGGCTACTCTGGTGATGAAGATAAAAGCAGATCAAGTTGTTAATCCAAAATTTCAGGGCCAAAGCATACCTCAGAAGGGAGCATGGACAAGATTGGAAGTTCATAGGACAGGTGTAGAATTCATAAGAGGTTAAGACTTAGCATCCATGTCATTACTGAAATCCAGATCAAGAATTCAACAAACCTTGTCAGAGGACCCTCAAATGTACTATAAGAAATAGAAGAAATTGTATTGATTGAAATGTGAATTTCAGAACAAATTCTAGTAGAGATAAACCCTAACCAGCCCAGAGCTCATGGCTCCTTCACAGTAATGCCTTTTGCATTCCCTGCTTAGCTAAAACAGCTTTACAACAAATTAATGCAAGGAAGGGTCTTTCTCTGGGTTGCAAAGAGGAGACAGACTCTTTTCAGCTTGAGCAGAAAGCCTAGGACTGATCCGATGACAACAATTGAGGGTTTGGGTTTGGCCAGTATGACTATGAACATCCCACCACCTCTGCCCAACCCAGTGACTCATTTTCTCTCATGAAATGGGGACAGATGTAATGAAATTTTGCACCTCAAGTGAGGCAGACAAGCTGCTCCTCCCCGAACCACCTGACTGTGGTGCATGTGCGGAGGCTGAGGCTACTCTGGTGATGAAGATAAAAGCAGATCAAGTTGTTAATCCAAAATTTCAGGGCCAAAGCATACCTCAGAAGGGAGCATGGACAAGATTGGAAGTTCATAGGACAGGTGTAGAATTCATAAGAGGTTAAGACTTAGCATCCATGTCATTACTGAAATCCAGATCAAGAATTCAACAAACCTTGTCAGAGGACCCTCAAATGTACTATAAGAAATAGAAGAAATTGTATTGATTGAAATGTGAATTTCAGAACAAATTCTAGTAGAGATAAACCCTAACCAGCCCAGAGCTCATGGCTCCTTCACAGTAATGCCTTTTGCATTCCCTGCTTAGCTAAAACAGCTTTACAACAAATTAATGCAATGCTGCCTCCCATGTATCGCCCCCCCCCCCCCCCAAAAAACTATTATATGTCCCCTCACATGGTACACACACTCCTCCAATTATAACCAACTTACACATTTTATCTACTTGGGCCTGGGCCCTTTATCCTGGCTCCTATCATTACCGCCCTCTAGAACTGCAGCCTTGTCCTCAAGGCTGACATAATGGCCCACCATCTTGACTGCACCACTGTTAACCGATGCAAACCTTTCGAACAATTTTAACCTTCCACTATAATCATACAAGATAGAGAAATGCCTACTTAGAATAATTCCCACAAAATTGTAGACCCATCCTATCTTCTTCAGTAGAGTTTCTGGTATAGCAGACTGAGGAACATCACCATTCTCTATAAGTGTAGAGGCAACAGAAACTCTAGACTGACTACCCTTTTCTCAAGGATTATATGTGACATACTCAGCGACTTCTTCTCATCAAATCCAGTCACTTTTGTCCCTTTCCAGTCATGGGAAAACTTATGCTACTGTTGCATCTCTAGCTATGGGGAAAAGAGAGTCAATTTTTATGCTTTAGACAGCGAGACCTGGTGAATATGTTAGGTAGTAGAATACTTGATAGTTTGTTTTAGTAGTAGAATACTTAATTATCAATTAATTATTTATATTAGAGGGTTAGTAAGTTAGGTGAGTTTTTTGAATATGGCATGTTGCCTATAAATAATAACAGGGGTTGAGAGGAAGATATTATCTGGTGATTTGAGAGGAAATACAAATTGTTGTGAGAGTCCAGCCCTCTCAAAAGTTCTGGGAATCATTTACATTCTATTCAGTTAATAGAAACTTTTCTTTTTACAATTTTGATCCAGTTCTATCATAGCATCTCTATTTTCAGACTCCGCTACAAAATTGTGGATTGCTTCCTCATGGCTCATCAGTGGTTGGTGAGGTGGTTGGGGTGTTATCATCTTTGTTGAAAGTTCTTCTCTTGTCATTGCTGAAGTTTCTAATGTCTCTATTTTGGACTCTGCTGCAACTTACCCAGTTTGTTTTCGATGTTTGTGAGCTCATTGGTGGTTCGTGACTATTCATCAATGGTTGGTGCTTGGTGGCGGTTATCATGACTCTCCTCCTTTGAAAGCTTATAACTTCTCTATTTTTTGACTCAATTCATTAAGGTATTTTATCCTTTTCCATTCTTTTGGTGTCCAAAAGAAAATAAAGTTTCTTGCTTTCTGGGTTTTACCTATGATGTTGGATTGAGAAAGAGACTAAGTTTTAGTCTTTGATTTAAGTAGTTTTTATTCTATTTGATAGAGTTGTATGATGAGTGATGTGACTAATTTCTTTAGTATTTATCTATCTATTAGTTCTAAATCTAAATCGTTTGTATAAAATTATTGTAGAAATGAGCACTTCTAGTCAAGCCAAAGATAAAATAATGACACCAAACTACAGAATTTTGCTACAGAGACAAAAACTATACGTAGAAAGAAATCTTGGTGTGGTGATATGGTGCCTTATTATTAGATCTTTGGGTTTCATTTTTTATCCATCCAACACCTCCCTCCATCATTTAATCTTGTAACAGAGGCACCGCACCACTTCTTTTAGCAAAAGCTTCAATTGCAGCACAAACAAGCAACACAACTTTTAACCTTTTAATGAGAATGGCTGTCTGGCCCTATCAATATCTCATCCAATTATCATACCCCTGTTGCCTTCAAGCTCAGACATAGCAATTTAAACACTGCTTTAACTGTTTTAGGTCACAAACAGCCAATGTTTGGGAACAACCATGAAAGGGATTTGAGTGCATCATGTAACATTTTCTGTTACATGTATCAATTCACACCACAAGGATCTATTAAAATTTGAATTTTCTGTAAAATCATGAGGGAGTTTCTCTGGTAAAGTTTGAACAAGTAACGAGACCACCTTGTTAGTCACAAAACTTATTTTAGGCTCAAGGTCTCAGGAAATCAGGTACCTGAAAACATTGCTTTAGGGCCTAAATGGCTATAGTGTTTGCCATTATAAACTATGATAAGAACTGAATGAACAAAATGGATTAACAGATAGCTTATAACAGCAAAGAACAAAGAAAACTACTGATACTGAGGTAACCCTCCTCCCTATGGCAACAGCCACTCCAAGTTAACCTCCCAATCCTATCCTGCCTTCCCCCCTCTGTCCAACCTTCATATTATTCCTCCCTTCCACTGATTCTCGCCTCTTCCATGCCATCCCTCTCATGCCACGTATTCAGTTTGTTAGAATCCTTCACGGCCTCTTTGCTTACATTTCTCATCTTACCCTTATGCTTGTTACTCCTTCTTTGATATGTCTTTAACGGGGGCCCAATTTGCTCAGACCCAACAGACTAATTTATAACAAGTTTGGTCCATGTAAATCCAATCATCACTGCTACTCACCTCCATGGATGTTTAAATCAAATGCATATATTTCTTTTAAATCACTGGTTTTAAAATACTTCTATCAAACAAACAAATAAATAATTTTTTTTAAATCTTCATTTTGCCTCTGGACTTATGCTGCAAGTTGAGTCTATTAGGCATACTAAATCAGACCACTGTTTATCTTTCTTCTTGCTCAGATATCTCCTATTTTATTGACTGTTCATTTAGATTCACCATTTTGCAAAATATTACATATAAAGAAACAACAAAACATGAGTACTATTTCAAGAAATTGGAATAAAGAAAAAACCTGGATATCAAGTACTGCTTCTCCAGTTCGTGTTGGCTGACTGCCAGATTCAGGGACCAAATTTTTTGCTTTGTGACACTACAATGAACCATTTAGACCTTAGTAACAAAAGGGGAAGAAATAAAATTCAATCCAAGAAACACTTGAATCATCAATCAACTTCCTTCAAAATAAACATTGGAAATACCAATTGACATCAGAAAATATTTCCTTACCTCATCAAAAATTATAAGACCATCAAACCCTGGTCCACACCATTGCACAAGCTGCAGGAGGCGAGAACGGCCTTTCTCAGAACTTGCTATGAGACTATTGTATGTCAAGAAAACAACTCCCTCCCTGACCCCAACAGACTTTGAATCAAGCTTAGAATATGGCAGTTTGTTCAAAGCATGCACTGGATGAGGGAAAAGGAAGAGGAAGACATTTAAAATTTTAATAACATCATTTGTAATACAGATAAAATAACTACTCAAACATTTTAAATTTAATTCCACATAAACACAAACCCCAGAAATGGACTACAAAAGGAATTTCTCCCAGGAAGATAACCAAGCAAAACTTTCATTTTTCGGATAAAAGAATAAAATTAGAGTAAGAATGAATAAAAGGAGATAATAACAAATAAACTGTTATAAAGTGGCTAGTGATCCCTCACAACAGCAAGGATACATACATACAGACACACATCAAAACTTAGCCTAATAATAATCTTATTTCAACTAAGGTATCATTTGGTATACAGACAAAATGGAATGGAACAGTTTGTAGGTACTGTTCTCATTGGTTCCACCCTTCTGTGGAATTAAAATGTACTGCAGTTTGAACCTTACTCGCTGATCTGTTCAATTTTTAAAATGCACCAAATGCAAAACAGAATCACATGTTATGTTCCAACCCCTTCTAACCTGTCTACCAAATAATTTAGGTCATGTACCAGTAGTAGTATAGTACAAGCCTGCCCTTTAACACTGGAACAATGTATTTAACAAGACTCCAAAAATGAAAGAATCATTATATTCTGATCTTGTTGAGAATCACTGGTCATGATGAAAATTTACTTTGTACTAGTTATGCCTTAACATAGTGGGCAGGCAAACAAATTGATATAAATGCCACAGAAGCTATGTAGTATGTAAACAACCCCATCCATATAAAATCACTAAAGAATATACCTTCAATGCATGTTGCACCCACGTCATCCAAGTCTCTTCTAGCATCAAACTTCAAGTCTGAACCAACAGAAATCCACCTGCGTTATCATTGGAAATGTGACAAAAAGAATCAAAACAATAAACTTCCAGTGTATCTCCACAAAACAAGTTGAAATTACAAACAAGCATGTACATATGCTCAGGTAAGTGAGCACAATTGTGCATCCTACGCATGAATTAGCATTCATCTTAATTTTCAATAACATACAAGCATGATTTCACAAGGAGACCGTGACCTAAACTTACAATGCTTTCCTCCTACCATGATGCCAGTTCTCCCAAATTAGCCCTGCAATTGTTCGACCTTTACCTACACCAGCTCCATCTCCAATAAAGAATCCTGCCCTAGCTCCATTTGAGATGTGTTGAAGGTGTCTCTGTCACAGAAATTAACATCATATACAAGAAAGGCAAAGCAAAACATAATCATATATTGTCAATTATATCATAGAAGAAACCTGACAAGCATAGACCAATGTCTCTATTTGCAAGCATGACAAAGCGTTTGAACTTTCCAAATTATCTTTAGTTATTGGATCATAAGTGGGCTCAGGTGGCTGCACTGCAGACAAGGAAGATGTCTCCACAACAGGATCTGGGTGTGGAGGTCCAATAGATACTTTTGGCGGTCGCTGCACAAGGAGATGTCTTAATACCACTAAAATGTGCTAGTGTAACTTGAAATGACAAATGAATTGTCAATTCAGAGAAAACAAACTTCTTCTAACATGCAATGGTGTCAAAAAGAGACAATTAGAAACTAACATAATCTGTAAATGTTTCTCCAATCATGCCACCTTCATCTTCATCCCGCTCAACTTCAACAGCAACCTGATTTAAATCAGTGCAGAATAAGAAACAAAAATATAGATATAAGGAGGATTAAAAATGTACAAACAACATTCTTCAAATCAAAACAATAATCTTTCATGGAAAACCAATAAATGAATGACGAAAAGGAAGAAAATGTCACTAGAAAACTGGAGAAATAATATAAATAACAAGAGTAAATTTCCCGGTCATCCATTTCTTTTAGCCTAGAGAGGGACTTTATGTTCACAAATTAATTTTCTTTTCCAAAAGTAAATACACATACATGCATGTATGCAAAACAGTAGAATCAGGAACTCTCCTAATTTCAATTTATACGTAGAGCAAAAGATGTTAAAGACAAAACAAGAAAAGACACCAATTAAAAAGAGAAATCCAACCCTTACGGAGGAACAACCAATAAATCAGGAGCAGAATGATTTTATCAATAAACTTCTTCCTCCACAAATTTTGTGGGAAAGACTTGTCTTCCTAGCCTCATAGTGTACTGGATATTTGCTCATCAGTCTATTGAATGTCTCTCAGTCATACTCACAAATGGTCTGGCAGGTTGTGCACAAATTTAATTGTTTTTTTCAATGGTTTATTTGGTCCCTCCTTCCTTTCCAAAACACATTTGACTGAACATCAGATCTCATGGCCATTCAACATTATATGAGACCCTGAGCAGTTGTAAATAGGGAAGCCAAAAAATAGACAATAGACTGAAAATTAATCTCAACCGAAGTTTTGGATTAGAGTAAAAAATCAGTAACCTTTTATTTTGCAACCCATATTTCAGTTCCACCAAACAACAGTACAGTTATTTTCTTTCCAAATTTTCCACCTTCCCACATTCCGCCTATTCAACCAAGGATTCGGTAGAGGAGTTTGGAAGTGAACATAGAATGGTTTAATGCTTAAATTGCAATCTATCATTTCATTCCTTCCATTCTAAAGTCTTCAAGAAAGGAAAATGTTTAATCAAAATGAAAAATTAACCCTCTCTTCCATTTATCTAGAAATCCTTCCCTCTAGATGATAAAATATTTCAATGAATCATTGATTGCCGCAGACTCACAGCTACTTATTTGCAAATTGATAGCCTTAAACAATATCACTTCTTTGTGGAATAACACCATGCCAAGTTTATAATGCATGAAATTTCTATTAATATCACTTCTGCACCCACCAAGGCACAGACACTGCTAAACATATTCACCCTAAAATTACAATGAAATTCTGCAAATGAAATGGACTAAAGTGGCAACAAACCCAACAACACAGAAACACTGAATGACATAATAATTAGTACCTTAAGAAGTAGACTCATTCCCAACAGCAGTACATCCTTCTCTCAGAAATAAACTACTTTCTTTTCACCCGCAAAAGGAAAGATAGTACATCCTACTTCCTCTTAGTAATGCTTGTCCGTCCTCATTAACATCTTCACATTATCAAGCATCAAGTATATTTTTGTTCCTTTTGTAATAAATAGTAACTAACATCAATCAAGCATATTCAACTTCCTATATGTAATGCTAGTGTTCTCGGTACTTGCTAACATCATTATGTTATCTACTATCATGTATATTTACTTCCTTTCATAATGCTCGTTCATACTTACTAACACTTTTGCCTTATCAAGTATCAAGCATATTTTACTTCATTGCAACACTTGTTCATCCTTATTAACATTATCACCTAATCAACTATCAAGCATGCTCTACACTACTTCCACTTAGTAATGCTTGTTCATCCTTACTAACATAGTTACCTTACCAACTCTCAAGCGTATTCTGCTTCCACTTCGTAATGCTTGTTCATCCTTATAAGCAATATTATCATATCAACTAGCATCACATTTAAACCTCATTGTATGTCCTCCATATCAAACAAGACAAAACTATTTACAAAGAGAACCCCATTATCATCTGAAATAAGTGTACAGACTACAGCAGTGACACAATTTCCATTCACCACTTCATAATTCTGAAATTGTGTTTCGGAGAGCAATAGAAGCAGTGGAACTGAGACAGACCTCATTAATAAACTACTCTCTTTTCATCCAATAAAAGCAGCATATCCTTGTTAATTACTATCAAGCATATTCTACTTGTCGTAATCCTTGTTCATCCTTACTAGCAACGTTATCATGTCAACCACCATCAGAATCATACCTAATTGTCTATCCTCCATATCAATCAAGACAAAGTAAAGTACCGATATAAATTCCACTGTCACATAAAACCGCACTACACAGTAAAGCAGTGACGCAGTTTCCGTTCATCACTACACCATTTCCGGAATTCGTTGATTTAATAGAAGAACAACAAAGGCAAACCTCGTTAACTTCTTCCGGTGGCGGCATGGAGGGGAAGAACTGCTTGACCTTAGAGACATCGACGGCGAGGTCAACGCCGCATTGAGGGCAAGCGAAGCGTGCGAGGCCGTGAGGGACGTTGAGAATGGCCTTGCAAGAAGCGCAGGGAAGCTGGATCTTAGTGGGATCAATGCCGTGAGCAGGCACGTGCGGTTGCGAAGTCGGAGCGGGTGACGGAGGTACAGGCTGAGCCGCTGTTTGGGCCCTAGCCATGAGCTCGGGCGGAAGCATCTGCGGCATTCGGCAGGTAGGGCACGCGAACTCGGTCAGGCCAGGTGCCACGGTCAGGATCATGCGGCAGCCGGCGCAACGGACACGAAGGCTCTCGGCCGGCTGCGGCGGTGGCGCCAGCGACGCTGGAGGCGGTGGCGCCGATGGCTGCGTCATTATTCTTTCAGAGGAGAGAGCACGAAAGGGTTTTCTCAGGGGAAATTATGATTGGCGGGCAGCGAAGGTTTTTTTATTCTCTCTCTTTCCCCCTTTTCTCTCTGCTTTGGTTGTTTAGGGAGATTGTTGGGGTTGGTATGTGAAGAAACGAGCCCCAAAGAATTTCTTATTGTCTGAAGTCTGAAGTTGGGAATGGATATTGGGACTGGATTTTAGGGAAGTTGCGCATGCTTCTTTCCAGCTGAGAAAAGGGCACGTGACATGTCCACGTGACAGAACTTTATTCTTTTAAAAAAATTGCCTAAATTTAATTTAAGAAGTAATTTCACTTTTGCCTCTTATTCGTTATTTTATACGTTATTTTAGTCTTTTTATTTTTAATTTTTTACATTTAATTTTTCTAACTTTTAATTATTCAAATTAAGTCTTTTATTCTAAAATTTCATCTAATAATTAAGAAAAAAATATATAATAAATCAATGATATATTATTAATTTGTATAAATTAATAAAAAAAATATTTAAACCAGTTACTAATAAATAATATAAAATAAATATTATTTTTATAAATTTATATAAATCAGTAATATACTATATGTTTGTTATATTTTTAAATAAGGAAATGTAGTTAAATTTACTTTCTCTTTATTTATTTATTTATATATATATATATATAAAGCATAAAGCTTAAAATATAAAAAAAATTACTAACAATATATTTTTTTAATATATTTTTAATTATTAGTTAAAATTTATTTAAAATTATAAAATGATGTGAGTCTCATTCATTTTTATTTTTAATTTAAAATATTTTTAGTATTTTTTATTTTTTAATAAATTTTAGTAAATAGTTATTAATATGTTTAAAAAGTTGTGTTAAACAAAGTGTTTTTAACATTTTTTAAAAATTTATATTAGCTTTAAAACGTTATTATAAAATTGACAATGATTGTTATAATAATAATTGTAATAGCAATAGTTAAAAGAAATAATAATAATAATAATAATACAAGCTGACAAAAGTTGACCAAAGATGATAACAACAAAAAGAGTTATAATATATAAAAGTGATCATAAGTGATAATGATAATGGAAGTGCAATTGTAGCAATTGTGATAATGATTGAAATAACTTTAACTAATTGTGGTTTGTAATTTATAGTTGTGGTTGTCTTAACAATTTTACATATAATAGGTTCAAACACAACTTTATTCACCAATAGTGATGATAATGAAAAAGAATGTGACATAAGCATGATAATTGTTATTGTCTCAAGAATTTTACACACAATATGTTTAAACACATAAATTTATTGCAATTGCACTTATAGTGATAATAATGGAAAAGAATGTGATGTAAGTATGAAAATAAACTTTTAAAAAGAGTTTTTTATTTTTTTTCTAAATATAGTATTTCTAAATAAAATAAAAAAACTCTTTTTAAAAGAGAAATCAAACATACTCTAAGTAGCTGGTATTAGTAATAATTATGATAGCGTCAATATAAGATTGTTTGGTACCACTGTTATTGTAGTGATATCTTGATTCTAATTATAATTACAATGATTGACTAATAAAGATAAATCATAATACAAGTGTTAATAATAGTAGAATTATTTATTTATTTTTTTAAAATAGAAATAATTAAATAATTTATTATTATTAATATATATATATATATATGTAAATCTTTATTTTAAAATTTAGCATAAAAGTATTTTAAATTAAAACCAAATTTAAATCCATTTAATCTAGGATAATAATATGAATATAACTTGTCAAGTTGATTCATCTAGTCCATCAATAATAAAATCTAAACATCTTTTATTATGAAACATTTTTCTTAAGAAATAACATTTGATAATTTGCAATAACCTCAAATATGCTTTTAAATCAACTTTTCAATTTAAAAATTTATTATTATTATTTTGCTTGTCATTTTTTAAACTTTTAATATAAATTTAAGTAATAAATATTCACACGTTTAATGTTTAAACACAATATAAACTATAATTTGATAATTTATAATTATTAAATGTAATAAAAATATATTATTTATTTTTTTATTATATGCTCCAAGCAAATGTTAGAAAAACTATATTATGAATATTTAACATTTTAATTTAACCATTGAAAAAGCAAACATAAATAAAAGGGTTGTAAATATTTGTAATACATTTTTTTATCATAGGCTAAAATTATTAAGAAGTCATCAAAATTTTGGAAGCCTCACTTCTATATTTTTTTTGTTTTAGTTTACAAATATCCTTTAGAGTTGATTAATTAGGAACTTGATACTACATTCACATGCTTAGAGGTGTCTCACTTTTAATTTTAATTTAATACTTCTTACTCTTTTTTAAATTTTAAAGAAATTTTAACTAATAGAAAGAATGTGTTAGAATGCAAGTTTGTGGCACTCTTATAAGCAATGTTTCAAATGTCAAGTTAGCATGAGTAGGAACTCCTTTCTTAGTAGCAAAATAACTAGAGTTCACCTTGTAAAGAACATTAGTAAGACACACCATTAACATTACATGACGTTATTAAATTAAATATCAATAATTATAAACTAAGGGCTATTGGAGCTTGATGAAGATATTATATGAAAATCTTATATTTTGGTTTTTACTATGATTTTAAGCCATTTTATAGGTTGTTATAGATGAAACACATGTGTAATATATTAACTTAAATCTAAATGAATGATCAATGGAATCTTAATCTAAACAAGTATTAATATAAATCTAACTCATATAATCAATTACATGGTATTTACAGTTGATTACATGGTTTAGGCTAACACTTAGATTTTATTCAAATAAAAGTATTTTGCAAAAGTATCTAATTAATTGATTATACGTGCTTTGTAATTAATTTTAGCAATTTTTTAACAACAATGTCTCTTTAGTTTTAATTTATTACCAGGATCTTGTAATTGATTATACACATTACAAATTTATTTGAACAAAATTCATACTCTCTAAAACATTCAATTACCAGAATTTCGTAATATACATTAAAAATTTATTTGAATAAAATCACTATAGATGGTGAAAATGTCAAAGAACAGCTAAATTCTTCTTAGAAGGTTCTGAAGTAGTTACTTTGTGAGGAGAAAGTGACCACTTTCACCCAATTCTTCCTTTAAAAGCTTAACTCCCATGGATCATTGTTCAGAATTCCCTGCACATTTATTCTAATAAGCATATTTACAAAAAAAAAACTATAAAACTATATAAATTGAACTAATTTAGAGAAATTGAGACTAATTACAAAATTGACATGGTATTTACATTTTTTAACTTCATTTTTTTGTTAAAAATTTGCTAAAAAGATAACTAAAATATTAATAAAATATGAATTTATCATTTACTCTTCAGTTGGCTCGAACTTAGTTAACTCCGATGAAGTGTCTACATCGTGAGCCCAATCTTAGAGTTACTAGCCTTTTGTAAGAGTATCAATGTGATATTGTATCATAGATCCAGTCTTGATCTAGTCTTGGCTCATCTATAGTCACAACATAACAAGTAAACAAAAGAAGAGAAGAAGATACCAAAACATATAAAGGGTGAGACCATGCATACCATAAAACAAGTCAGGCCACATAACAATCCCTAAGATGAATTCATAATCATCAAACTCACAATACTCTTCATGCAATCATTTCATATATACAAGCAACATAACACAATGACATATATTGAATGATGCATGATGCAAGTCATTAATGATATGATGCATAGGAATCCTAATCACTCGAAACATAATCATTTAATGTCAAAGGCAGTTAGAGGATATCATCCTTACTCCATAAAAGTAAATATGTTTTATAAATAATTTGTTGACCATAGTGTGCTTGTAGCATGTCATTTAAGAATGAACCTACCACGACCTTAATGATAGGTGCCTTCGTCAGGATTGAAGGGTTTGTTGGCAATGTGATCCTAACACAATGAGCTACTCTGCACCATTGAGTCATATCTTTCTTGACCACCCTCAAAAGTTTTCTCGGAACCTATACACATGCATCCCACAATTGTGCTGAACTATAGCTTTAAGAACTTACTTTCTCATATGTGCATAATGCATGATGACATTCATTAAGTCTTATTGATGATATACATTCTTTGCTTAATCATTTTCATACTCACTTCAAGGTTTCATAGCATTGTAAGTCCCAATACCTTGGTCAATCATATAAAAACATATTTTTGAATAACAATCCCACAAAATTTCATCTCGCTCAAATTCTTATATTTTTCTCATTAGTTCTATTTAGTCTAATAATCCAAGATTATAACACATGTATTTACCCTATCCACCTCCTCAGTTCCTCTCCTTTCTTATTGATTATTAGGTTGATTATTTACTATACTGATTTAACATACTTTTTTTACTCAGCTTTACTTTTAAGTTTCTCATTATTTTTCTCAATTCTTTACCACCATGGTGCAATCTAATGTTCTTCACTTTAATCTCATGTATATACCTTAGTACTTATTCAATCACCTATTAGGTTTCTAGTGTAATTTTCCAAGTCCTTCATTGTCACTCCAAACTGCTCTTTATAATATTAAATGCAGTAAAATAGGTGAGAAATGTAAGTTGTTCTCTTGAAGACCTCATTTATAACTGCTAAAAATGAAACAAAGAAAATTGAGGATTATTGAACTATGTAAATAAAAAACAATCAACTTACGATTTTTACTCCGTAAAACAATATGGTTCCAAAATTAATTTTAATAAAGTTTGTAAATTCAAATGAAAGAACATGGGTTTAAATATAATTTTTTGAATGATTATTGAACACGAGTCTTCAATTGATTCGACATGGTTCTTCTCCATCCAGTCTCGAAAGTCTGAATTACATAAACAAACATTTCAAGATTGCACGACTAATGAATTCGACAATGTGAATTATCCAAAATCATATCATCACAATCCAATACCAAATTAAAAATATTTGTGATAGAGTTGAGAAGATAAGAAATAAGATTTCAAGTTAGATTAAAATAGAAAATATTATATCATTGCTTTGCGGGATTAAAGAGGCGTCAACTTTCTCTTCCTTGAAGGCACTTTTGCATAATGAAGTAAACTCCTTAGTGTCTTGTGCCAAGGTTTAATGCATGTTGAGTGGGATTTTAAGTGTAGAATTTTGAAGTTAGTGGAAGCAATTCAAGG